AGTTACATGAATTTTTGGTGCTCTAGATTTGTCCCGTGATGTTCGAAACTTTTTTGGGTGGCGATTTTACCCCGGTCGCCATCCCCCAAAATCAGAGCTTTGGTAAAAATTACCGTAAGTTACCGGTAAGTTACTATGGTAAGTTAACTTACTGGTAACTTGGTAACTTACCACGGTAAGTTACCACTAACAACCCTGCCAAACATTACTGTGTTAGCTAGTACGTACGTACATACGTACGTTTTTGAGATATCTGATATATAACCCCGGTGAAAATTAGCAAGTGCCAAATTTTAAAGTAGTTATGTAATAAAAAAATTACTATATATATTTAAAAATGAATATAGTTTGTCAGGGATGATGCTGAAATTTGGGGCCTTAATTAATCCTACTAAAATCCACCTATCGCTAAACTCTTATTATAAACACTAACACATAAGGGCTGATTGGACTCATTTAACCAATCAAATCAGCCAACAAATTTAATTCACGAATATTATTATTTAACAAAATTTTATTTTACTGCGATACGTACAAGACAATAAATATTTTGGCCAATATTAAATAATTAAATTTGTTACTTTATAGTATGCTCTTTTTTACCGTGAAGTTTAAATAGTAATTTTATTATATTTTTTATCTTTAATGCCTTTGCTAAAGATACACTATTTCGTTTAATTTATTAATCTAAAGCGCTACTAATATTTATTTATCTGTATTCACACTTACTGCACTATCAAACAAGCTTAACTTCTACTAAATTAAAATAATATTTAATTTATTAGTATTAAGATCGTTATTATTAAAATAATACTTAAAAATTATAGAATAAACAATATCTCTAAGACTGTTCAAGATAAACTTACGTTAAATATTTGTTTTTCATTAGGCAACTGTTTTTGATGTAGTGTATATGTTATAAAGCTAGTAATAGTAAAAAATAAGACAATAAGACGTTTTTCTTTTAAGTTTTATATTTGTGGTTAAATTGATAAATTGTTGTTGTTATTGAAAAAGTATACAGTATGCTTTAGATATTATGTTGGTTTAACTTCTATGTGTTCTAAATTCATAGTCGAAACTCATTCCCAACTCATCTCCAACTCATCTCCAACTCATCTCCGAATATAACGATTGGCTAGAAAAGATGTTTTTTTTGATCGCTATTGATTATCTATCACCATGTGAATCATGTGAACGTGATTGGTAAGATTGGTTGTACAAAACTATGAAGATCTTAATAAACAATTCGATAATATCACAAAATGAGTCGAATCAGCCCATATGAAAAGCATCCAAAAAATTTAAAATTTTCATAATAAAGTAAATCAAAATTTCAGCACCATCCGACATAGTTTAAAGGTAGCATGCTTAAGAACACCCGTACCCTCCACCTTACGTAGTAAAACTTACAAAATAAGACAAAGGAATAAAGATACGTAATAGATTTCAAAACGATAACGATAACGTTCCAGCCACAAAAAGTTGAATCATGTGACATAAATGCTTAGTATGCATATTATTATATTAATGATAAGCGAATTTGCTTTATTATCGTTATCCTCATCCAACCCAATATTGGTCTATTTTTTTTTTTTATAATGAAATCTCGAGAAGCTCTATTTAAAGAATCAAATTTCGAGCTTATTGTACCTAGTGGTATAGTAAACTGTACCGAAGAAGAATTTGAAAAAATTTTTACCTCAACGGAAAGAACTTTAGCATTTTATGGTATTTAATTTTTACTCATTTGTATTCTGCTCTAGGTCTAAATGTTCGTCCACATATCTGACATAATTTGTAAAAAAAAAAAAAGACGAACTTCTCTACTTTTATCTTAATATATGTCTTCCCGGTGATTCTGGCATCACTGATAAAGAAGCAGCCGCATTGTTTTTCCAGCAACTTGAAATATTTGTTGAAGCATTAATAATCGATGCAAATGCGTCTGTTTCGAATTCAACCCCCACCGCTCCTCCACCGGTATATCGTTTACCTCCGGGTAAATCTCGAGAAACTTCTACAGCGACTTCGCCCTCGATACCAAGCACTCCTTTACCACCACTTATGGACAAGAAACCATCTAAACCACCAGATGGTACAATAATATCTTCTTATTTATATAATCAAAAATCAAAAGATCGTCAAATGTTGGTTTTTGAAAAGAATGGCTCCTGGTCATGTCTAGTACCATTGGTAGTCCCTGTAGGTAAGCCCTGAGATTTTGATTTTAATATTATTTATTGTTTAATTATTTAAATTTGTAGCGTTCTATAACAGGTTTTGTTAAAAAAGTAGAGTTCAAAATATTTATTATTTTATATATAATTAGCATATGTAAAAACTCGCGCTCAGATTCCGGCATTAGCGCTTAATACGACTATTACTCAAATTCCTCTATCAGAAGAATTAAAAGATATTGGAAAGTCATTTAATTCTGAAACGTCTAATGGCGAGAATTTTGGCATGACGAATTTATTAGAAGGCTTAAATTATGGTTAGTCGAAAAAAGGTTTAAATAATCGATTCTTTGCGACAATTATTCAATTATATTCATTTTAAAAACATTGTTAAAAAATGATTGAAAAGATCCATCATTCGAGTCACCTACAGCGAGTCTACTACTCCCAACAAGTCGTCTATTTGGCAATGAAACTAGACGTTTGTCTTTAAATTTAAGCACAAATTCTTCTCCTCCATTGAAACATCATATACGTAAAGTTTTATCTATAAAGTCAGCACTCAATGTTCGCATGCGGACTACTAGTGTATCTCCTTTAGATCATGTGTTAATGATGTCTGTTGAATTGGAGAATAACACTGATGCGGGTTGCTCATTTTCTGTTGAGGAAGTTAAAGTAGATATTGACCATGGCTTTGTGACAAAATATGATTGGGAATCAGCAAATAAGCAATTGGTAATAATCTTTAATAAGTTAATTATTATATAGATTTTGAAAAGCATTAAAAAGGTGATACTTACAAATTTAGATAATGGTCATGCCAGGATAAATTTCCAATAACGCTTCATCCTGTCGACCAAGTTACGTTTTTATATAGTATTACGATTTTAGATGATCTGTCACTTCCAAAATTGTCTTCACAATTTTGTCCTACGCCACAACCTCACTCTAGACCAACATCTCGTCGCACCTCTGTATCATCAGTATTTTCAATCACCTCTGGTTCACCTATTACAGAAGAGCGTCAGCGTCATGTTTCAATCGTTGCAAGAGGATCACCGATTCTTGATGGGACAAAGTGTCGGAGCATCGAGTCAAGGTGGAATTGCATGCTAGATCTAACTAATCTACGGAGACGTGAAGATTCTTTGCCATTACCTATGCCAAATCCAAAACCCTTATCACAAAACGCAAAAGCGGGACAATCTAGGGGCAACTCTTTATTTTCACCCACGGGTTCATCAACACCAACCAATTTTAAAGGTTTCCATTCAGCCTCGGACTCTAATGGAAAAGTTAAAAAACCAGCAAACCTTCCCACCATACCTGACAACAATGCGATTGGTAATGGTATTCTCACTGGAGGCAGAACTCCTATGACATCCAGACCTATGGAGATGGAAGTTGGTGATGGTGTTGTCGTTTCCTTTTTGGGTAAATAATAAAAAAATCTCGAGTCAGATTTAACGTGTTATATATCAAATCTTATCAAATCTTATTAATCTTTCTATTATTTCAGTCAGCTCCAAGGTTGTTTTAGGTAAGCTGTTCACAATACATATTTTCTTTGTCAATAGATCAAAGCACGTAAGGAGATTTACTGTGGTGGTGCCCAATAAAAAACGTCCAAATGAGAAGTAAGATTAAACAGATATTGTTAATTATCATTCATATTTATTTTTTAACCTTATTGTTACTGATGATTTTTTAATCATTGACAGAGCGATCAAACACATATCCATACCGCCAGCAACAGTAAAAGTACAAAATTCAGCCGAACTACTTATAAGTGGTAGTCAGGCAAATCAATTAGAACCATTTATGGAAGAATCTGGTAATTAATTATTTTCCAGGAAATTTTAATTTTTTATTAGTATTAAAAAAAATATTTTTTATATACTTTATAGATTTCATAAGAAAATATTTGGAACATGAAACACCAGATTCTGATATTATTTGTTTAGAAAATAATGTTCGAATCGGGTAAGAACATAACTTTATAATTTACATTTTCCTTATACTATTCATTTATTTATATTAACCATATTAAACTTAGACCATTGAATCCTTCAACGTGCGAATCAGTTGCATTACATTTCATTGCTATCAAAGAATCAATGCATATTATTGATTTGGTTCAACTTGTGGATAATGATACCGGCTTCATAACAAATCTTAGAAATGTTTTGGAAATTTATGTTGCAAAGCCAGTTACATCCAAAAAGGGAAAAAAAATTATTGATATTGCAGGTGGTGGTATGGAAGTACAGGTTAATGGGTAATTACGATATTTTAATAGGAGTTCTTGATTGCAAATACGTTTTGGTAGTTAATTCTGTAATTGAGAGGTACGGTTTTACATTTCCTAACTCACAAATTAATGTGATCGAGGTATTCATCATTATTTTTGCTATGAAATTTTCATGTAAAATAAAGTGTCATTAAAAAAATACAAAATAAGTTTTACTACAATTTACATAGTTGATATTATTTTGCACATTTATGAGCGCTTAATCTTTATATAAGCGAAAAATCGCTGATCGCCAACTTAAGTGTTTACCGGTATTCCTTTTAAGTTATTGCAAAAATTGTATTTTTGAAACACAACACTCTAAGGTTGGTGTTTCACAAGCCAGAAGTATAAGAACTATAAACATTTTAGTAAGAGTCAAGTTCGATTTTAAAATAAAGATTTAACTTTACGCTACTTGATTCTTTTTGAAAAATTATTGATAATTCCTATCATCTTTGCTTTGAAAAGCGAAAAATTTTAATGTAATAACTTCGAAACTACTTTTAAGTTGGCGAATAGCTTGATCCAGCTGGATGTCAAATGCTAATATGGAAGATATGTTTTTACGACTAGACAAAAAAATTTTTACAAGTTGGTCTTAAAAATACTTTTTACTTTTGTATAATAATTTTTGATTTTTTAATCTCATAAACTTCTAAACTTTTTTTTTTTACTTGTATCTTTGTTTTTTTCATTTGATTTCTCTTTTATTTAAATTTTAAATAATGCTTTACTAATCATTTTTACTGTTTTGCTTTAGAGGTGATTTTAAAAAATTTATATTTTTCAGTTAAATGCATATCACAATTTTTTTTATATTTTCTTTTTTATAAAACAAACAGTGTTGGCAAATAGAACAATAGAACAAAAGCTCAATTTTTTGTCTTTATGTAAAAAAAAATTTTTTATTAATAATTTATATTTAAATATAGGTAATAAATTTAGCATATTTTTTATATTTAATTAGTAAAATTTAATACTCAAAATTTACAATAGAAAAATAAAAAAAATGAATAGAATTAGAAGCCAATAGAAAAAACATAAATGTGACAACCCTGAAAACAAAGTATATGTATTATTATTCTTACTACAGTCAGAACTCCCTAAATGCAATCTCCCTAAATGCATAGTCTATAAAGAACTTCACTAAGTGCATGGCTTTGTTCGACCCCAACTCATATGATACAGATTTTTTATTTCCCTAAATGCGAGATGTTTCAATTTTTTCATATAGGCCCCTCGCCTATGCATTTAGAAAGGTCTGTATTATTATTATTACATACGTACGGATTATATACTATATTATATATTATATTATTTATATAATAAACAAGTATATATATATATATATTATTATTATTATTATTGATAATAATAATAGCATAAAATAGAAGTAAAAGCAAAGGCAAATACATATCATACGTAACAAGTACGTATTATCATTGTTAAATCTTAAACATGATATATAATTATAAAATATTATATTACAAACCACTTGAGATAGCACAAATTTATCAGATACAGTATTGTAACAGGCAAAATCTTAAAAAAATCAATAAATCTGTAATTCTAAAGTTTCTTTGCAATACCGATACTACGTATATAATAATAGATGTAGCGATAGGAATTGATATTTTTATGAGTGACGCCAAGGGAAAAGGGCGCCTTGGCAATTTAAAAATATTACTGATTAATTATCGAGTTCAATTTTATAACAAACGTTAATATAAAATGTCTATTAACGTTAATGTTTAATTTAAAGCCCAGTCTGCATCATTGATAATTAATCAATAATATACTTAAATTGCCGAGGTGCCTTTTCCCTTGGCGTCACTCATATGATATCCGTGTCAAAAAAAAAAACCTCTAGTACCTCAAAAAAATATAAAGCCAACTATATACGTACTTATCCATAGTTGGAACCCGAAACCTGAAACCTTTCCGAAACCTTCAAATTAGAATGTTAAAAATTAATACTCATTTGCTATCCCGTAACGAGGGATTGAAAAATTATGTTTAGATAAATTTCTTGGAAATAATATTCGACGTATTAATTATTATTGCATGGTGTAGGGGCCTACACGAGCCTAAATTTGTACGTACTTTCACCGGCCCGCAAAATAAAATTTATTAGGTTTTTTAAAGGTTTGGCTCGCATTTTACTATGTTTATGACATATCAGGCAATTTGTGAGGTTTTAAAATTTTTAATTTCGGCCCGGCCCGTGCAGGCCTTTAGCATAGTGCGTGGCAAGATCCGACATAGCGCATAGCGATAGGCTTGAAAATATCACTTTTAAAAATGTCGATATATTACAATATGAAATAAAAAAATAATTGTCACATCTTATAGCATATATTATGGAGCGTGACAATTAAACAACATTATGTCATTGACTTTTTTGTAACATTAATTTCTGCAAAATCCTTGTCTAGGGGCATGAAGCCCAGATTAATACGTATTATGTGTTTCAAGAAATGTTTTAAAATTTTGTAGCGCATTCCTGTAACAGCATTTGTTATTTTAATGTAACAAAATCACAAATGGCTAATGCTAGTGTATCACCCCCTAAAGTTAAATATACTCGTGTATTATACATGAACAAATAGTTATAAAATGATTGTTAATCGACCTACTTACGGTCGACCAACTATGCTATTTGCTAAGTCGTAACGGTAATCTTAGTCGAATAAATTATATATCAGATATTGAAGGTATTTAATTTGTTTATCTAAGTTGCTAAGTAGAGATGTGAACTGTTATTCATTGGATATCTAAATAATACGTAGTAAATCCAGTGGATATTCACTGGATTTATTATTTAGATGTATTAATATTAGGGTTAGGGTTAGACATATATACGTACGTAGTAAAATCACATTTCCGACACTTTTACTTAGTGCATCAAGACCGGTTTAGATAGCCATTTTTTATATTTTTGTGTTTTTGTCTTTGTCGTTTTGTCCAGAATAATCAGGGACGCATATCGGGTAAATTCATTAGGGTCCAGGCTTTAAACGACCCCATATTTGTTTAAACGATCCTCCTTATATATAAAATAATCCAGTAAATTACAAAAAGACAATGCTAATAATTTCTATAAAAGGATAGTAATAATAAATTGCCATCTTGAGGATTATGTTTATTAACTTAATACACATCTTGCATAAAGTCACCAATCATATAAAAATGAAATTGGACTCGGAATCCGGCTGAAGTTGATTATAATTGAGAGACAACGTAATTTTTGTTTTAGCGCGGTAGATATTATTCCGTTTTGAAGATCAAATATATTAATTATAGACTACTTTTTGTGTGAACCAGTCTAGTATCTTGGATTACTTGGATAATCGACTCGTAAACTATATTTATAGTCATATGCATAACTATTCGTAATGATCGCCTCACATTAAACAGCTGGGGCATTTACTCAAGAGCATAAACTGTTTCCGAATAAGATAATTAGATATTAATGACTATTATTAGGAATGCTTTGCCGTCAAAAAGTCCAAATAAGTATAATATTATAGAAATTTATAAGAACTCCAAATCAAATTACGTAATTAAGCATTGTGAATTGAGAAAATAACCGATATATACATAACGGACACAACGGATAATATTTGTTACACCTTTCACTGCAATTAAATACCAACCATCCAAATAAACAGATGAAACAGATAATAATATATGCGACCAATCTTATACACAATTAAGATTAGCAAATTTTCGATCAAGAATCGATGCATGTGACTAAACTTTAGAAATACTATTTTTAAAATAATGTGTTTTTTTTGAATTCAAAAAGTTATATATGCATAATAAATATGTGACCAATACTTTTTCAAGAAATCAACTATAGTTTTAATAATGTTGAATTTTAACTACCTATTAGAGACAAAGATCTGACACTAATATTCTTTATTATCTATATTACGTATTATCGGTAATGTACGAATAAAACTAAAACCTATACCGAATAGCATATACCATATAGATATATATAAGGGATGATTGAATCCACTTTTTCTTTGGTAAACTGTCTTTCCTTTCTTTTTTCCCTTATCTTCTCCTTAGGGGTATGAATTTTTGAGATCAATAGGATCCAAAAGTCAATAAAACCATTCCTTCCCTTTACATCCCATTACAATACCTACCTTCCCGGTGACCCAATACTCCTATTATATCGACTTTATCTTTTCTATTCACATTATATCGTCAAAATTTAGCCGGAAGGAAACATCATAAAAAAAATCAAAGTCAAAATCGTCGAAATCATCTAGCAATAAATGGAAAGTTTAACACCTAAACCAAATATAACCATCCTTAACATGTTTACAAACATCAAAGATCAATTTGCAATTAACGCGTATCGTGTTGACATATCAACCTCCTGTTTACACGAATTAGAACCATGGGAAATTCTACTTGTTCATTTATTGGTTGCCCTAAGTCTTGCACTAATCGTCTATGCTGCTTTTGAGCCATACGTCGCGGGTGATGTGCTAGCGATAAATTTATTGGATTATAATCCAATACATTATTAAAGGATCATATTCGTATCGTTAGAATTCATTTTTGTAAATATTCTCTTGACCCTTTCACTAAAATTATGGTTAATTTAGAATTAGTGAAAATGATGTTAAAACACTCACTCATAGATTTATCATAGATTTCTATTGAATAGAATATTAGGAATTTTAGTATGTTTAGGTTAAAAAAGAACAGATAATATTAAGTATGGCGTATAGAATTCAAAATATGTAAAATATGTTAAGTTAGAGCTTCGATCCTTAATTCGACTATCCGAATTGATCTTTAAATCCAGACAGATTCAGATATCAAGATCAGAAATTTTTATTCGGATTGGTCAAAGAACTTAAATAACGAACCTAAGGATGTGCTATAAAGCTAGCTTCATATGTGATCTGATGCGAATTCAATTCAGGTTTATTAGAATCCGGATTGTCTGTCAAAAATGGATTGAAG